ATCTCTCTTGGATTACTGCAGTCACCTTTTAACTTGTCTTCATACTTGACCTCAATTTCCTGAAGTCTATCCTACACATAGCAACCAAAGTGACCCTTCCAAACATAAGATTATACCACTACTCTGCTTGAAATCCTCCATTTGTTTCTCATTTCACTCAGAGTGACAGCTTAAGTACTGACTATGACCGAAAAAGTACTACATGCATCCAATTAGGTCTCTGATTTCATCTTCAATAATCTCTCCCTTGTTTACTCTGCTCCAGCCATATTGGCATCCTTGACATTCATGCCAAGCTCCCTTTGCCTTCTGTCTGACCCTGGTGCTTATACATGTGCTTCCCTGTGTGGCATGCCATGCCTTCTCTTTCTATGAGTCTGTAGGTGGTAAAAAACAAAACAAAACAAAAAAACTACTTCCTTCATGACAGTCATTTCCATGTCTAGGTGTCTTACCATACCTGACTGAAACAAATCTTGGGTACCCTTAAAACATAGCAGACAACTGACTTGGTAACTTTTAGTAAAATGAGACTTAAAATTTAAATTTTTTTTTTTTTGGTTCTTACATTTTAAAGAACTTCCACTTATATTTTCTAAGTCAATTCTTATAACTTGTGAGATATTTAATAGCCATGTTTTATAAGTGAAAAAACTTAAACTCAAAAAGGTCAATTTAAATGACCAAACTCATCCCAGTATCTCACAGGCTAAGTGTTCTTGGGCAAGATTCTTAATCTGTTTCTTTGGTTATCCATACATTGAGGTTAATAATACTACCTGCCTCACAGAGTTAGGGTAATGATTAGTTTTTACTTATAAAGAATAAGCAGTTAAAATGTAGACATGTTCAGTTTTAGACATCTGAGTGATATCCTGGTGGAGTTGGCTGGTAGCAGGTGAAAATGCAAGGGTAAACAGAATTTCAGGGAACAGAAATGAGAGGTGGAGATTCAAATTTGAGAATCTTTGCACAGAGATGATAATAAATGAACTGAATCCCAAAATAACAATCTAAAGAAACAAAGAGCCAAAAAGAGAAACTGGGGGCAGAAAAGAGGTATTTAGACTGTAATAAGTGAACTAGTAAAGTTCACGGTTAAGGAAATCAAGAAAAATCTTAAGGAGGGGAAGATCAATATTGTCAAATGCTACAGAGAAATAGGAAAGTAAGGAAGCCCACTGAATCTGGTAACTTTTGAAACCTTTAGATTACTCATTATAGATCCTTGAGTAGTTTCTATACAGCAGTGGAGACAACAGTTTATAAGGATTGATTAAAGAGTGAACACAAAGACTTCTAGTTTCCAGTCCAACATGTAGGGAACTTGAAAGTCATCACTCCTGCCCTCACAAAAAGAAAAAGGCTGAATAAACTTAAAATCAACAACTCTTAGATCTATCAAGGAATTGAGATCATAAGGCAAATGACTATCTCAAAAATTGGAGAGGCAGGAGAAAAGAGAGAATCATAGATTATGGGAAGCAGAAACTACCACTGGCGACAGCAACTTAAAAGGCAGTTGACCAACTGCTGAAGACTGAGTGGCGATTTGCTTGAGAGATATAAACTTCTGGGGGCCCAGCCTAGGGAGGCCTCCACACTTTCATGAGTTTAACCTCCATGAGCCCACCAAGTTTTCAGGATATAGATCAGAAAAAAAATTCCCTCAGTTTTCTGGCAGGCTGATGAAAAGTAACCATTCTAAAATATACACATAATGTTCTACTCTCCTTAACAAAGTAAAGACCCACCCTCAACAAAAACTATTTTACCACAGCCTAACCAACTTGGGTTTTACCAGGGTCTAACTGACATGGGGAAAGGAAATACCTAACTCCAACCCTCTCTAGCCATCTTGTCCCTCCTAAGGAGAAAACAAATAATGAGAAGCACTAGTGAAGGTCACACCCCAGGCCCACTGAAGGCCCACTAAAAGACTAAGACCTAATCATTGAAATGTAGAACACTTCCCCTCTTCCCATATCTTACCACTACATCACAGGGCTCCTGTATAATAACAGAGGATTACAATGAAAAGAACTGCAAGTCTTATTCTCTACTTAAGAAGGAGTCCCTAGGGAAATCAAAAAAAACCAGAACAGATAAAAACAAGGACTAGAGGAAACTGAAGAGTTAGACTCTTACACCTATAGCAAACAGTAAACACAGCCTAATTTCCTAGCCATACAAAAAGAAAACCTCACACTAAAGGTCTATTTCTCAGTTCATATTATCTGATACAATATGTTAGGCTTTCAACAAAAAATTATAAGGTATTTTAAAAGGCAAAAAAACAGAGTGTGAAGAGACAAAGCAAACATCAGAACCAAACTTGTATATGGCAGAGATTTTATAATTCTCGACTGTGAATTTAAAATAATTATAATTAATATGCTAAGGGCTCTAATGGTAAAAGTAGATAATATGCAAGAACAGATAGGTAATGGAAACAGAGAGAAGAAAACTCTAAGAAAGAATCGAAAGGAACATGTAAGGAATTAGAATAAAGGAACTGGGCAGAGAATTGGATAAAAGGGTTGAGGAAAGAGTCAGTGGCTGTTTTTACAATGGGTGACTTGTCCAATATTGTTAAGCCAATGGGAAGGATCAAACAGGAAAAACTGGAGTGAGAAATTGGAAAATTGATAAATACATGCTTCCTGAGATACTTTAAAAGATCAGAATTAAGTCCTAAAAGGAGGAAGACAAGAAATAACATATTAGGTCGGTCCAATAGGTTGTAAGCTTAGTGTCTGTGATTTTGTTTTAATCAGATAACATGGCTACGACAAAAAGTGAAGGTTATTCTACTTCCCATCTCCTACACCAACTTTAATAATTAAAATACTATGAATTTGTCCTTATTTAAGAAATTCCCAAGGAAATTTTTCTAACATTCTCTCAGCTACGATGAGAGTTGTGCGACTTGTTTTTAATTTACATAAATTCAACTTAATTTTACTTTGAGATATCCATACCTAAAGGTGAAAACAAAAACCAGACAAGATGAGCAGTAACAAACGTTCCTAAAGTACAACATACTCATTCAATTGTTTGTTTACTCAACAAATACTGAGCACCTTCTTCATTGTAGGCAATAGAGAATATAGCAGTGAACAAAATAAAAATTTCTGCCCTCATGGAGTACAATTCCTTAGGTGAAGACAGATTAATAAACAAGCATATAATATACTTGTAGGGATAAATTTTATGGAGAAAATACAGCAAGGGTAAAGGATTGAAGTGCTAGGAGGAGGAAGTATTATTATTTTATGTAGTGTGGCTAGAAGACATTGATTTGGTGACATTCAAAGAAGATGACTGAGTCAGGAGATTATCTGGGGGCACAATATTCCAAAGAACAGCCCTAAATGCACAGGCCCTAAAGTGGGAATATAGTATGCCTGATGTGTTGTAGAACAATATGGAGTGTAATTAGCCAAGAAGAAGAAACCAAAGTGAGATCCTGTGGGGCCCTGTAAGGATGTGAGCTTTTACTTTGAATGAAATGGGAAAAAGTGAGGGTTTTGAGCAAAAAACCACACTGATTACTACATAGCGGGTGTTGGCAAGGAGACCATTTAGGTGGCACCAAAATGTGGCAGTGACTTACATGGGAGTGGTAGCCTGGATTTATTTTGCAGGTAGAAATGGCAAAAATTGCTGATGGATGGGGTAGAAGAGAGAAGTGGTCAAGGGTAACTCCAAGGTTTTTCACTTGAATAACTGAAAGAGTGGAATTTGCCACTTAACTGAAATGCGAAAGGCTGTAGAGTAAACTGGAAAAGAGGGAGAAATAAATTGTTTTGGATATGAATTATAGGATGTCTATCAACTTCTAAGAGCAGATGTCAGTTGTGTTTTTCTTGTTTTAAATGTTTTCTTGGGAGAGTTCTTTGCTAGAGATAAATACTTGTGAATCATCATTATAGGTGACTTTTAAAAGCATAAGACAACAGTGAAGAGAATAGGTTTAATGACTGACCCCTGAAACACTGCAATATTTAGTTATGGCAGAGATGAGGAGGTACCAGCAAAGTATTTTGAAAAAGAGTAGCCATTAACCAAGGGGAGAACTAGCTAGGGAAGACAGGTGTCCCAGAAACCAAATGAAGTGTTTCAAAACTCAATAAGTGGTAAACTAGTAAGTGTTTCAAAACTCAGTAAGTGGTAAACTAGATAAAAGCTGCTGATGGCCAGTTAAGAACAAAACTGTGAATCGGCCATTGCATTTGGCTGGACAGCTATTGTTGACTTTCAAAAAAGCTGTTTTGGTGGAGTGGTAGGATGGACAAAAGCCTGAGTACCATATTCAAGACAGAATGTAAGTTTTTCTCCCAAGAACTTTCAACAAGTTCCGCTGGAGAAGATTAGCTGAGCTGGGGGAGATTGGAGAGGAAATGCTGAAAATTTAAGAGATAAGTTTGGGAGAGCAAGTGAATGCATTAGGGAAGTTTGCTGGAACTTAGAGGACAGCACTAGGAACCATTTAAAGTCAAGAGTGAGACAAGTCCGCATAGCTGTGTGCTTTTCGCCAGTATTGTTCAATTGTTGCAGAATAATAGAATGTTGTAAGCAGGAATGAGTTTTAAGGTATGAGGGCACGGCAGAAAATACCCTCTACCACAGTGCATAGTAAAACGTTCGGTTTGGTGGCTCAAAGAAGCTGAAGCGCCTGACATCTGGGCACAGCATGACGGTATTAGGCTTGAGAGACTGCACACAGGAAAAACAAAAGCAAACAAAAAACTATAAGTGCTAGGAGGAAGGGTGGTTCTAAGCAAACCAGGTCTTTTTGTCACAGATCGAGCACAGCAGTAAGGGTTTTAAAAAGGCTGTGCCAGGCCGAGGAAGGTGGAACCATTCCCGCCTGGCAGCTTCGAGGGCTGCTGACTGACTCCGATGCAGTAAGGTTCCTTCCCAACTCCAGGGATAGGATCTTGAAGTATTCCCTCCGCGACTCGCGGATGGACTACGGTTTTAGCGCCGGAACTTACGACCCGAGGTTCAGCTGCTTGTGGCTGTTTGTCGGAGAGATGCGCATGGTGGCAACTGGCTGAGTGGTCGGCCACCCCTTTCCTGGCTGGCTGAGCCCCTGTACCCCAACCCCCGGCGTTAGCGGCTCGGCTGAGGCACGGGAATGTTTGCTGGGCGTCATGGAGACGAGGGAGTCTGGCTCAACAAGAGGCCGCGCGGTTGGCTGGCGGCATGAGGCCGAGGAGGAGGGCGGAGGCGGAGGGGAGGGCAGAGGGTTGGTGGAGCAGGAGGAAGCTACGGACGACGATTAGGAGAAGGAGGCGGGCGGCCCGGGCCCCAGGCCCCTCCCAGGCTCTGAGTCTCCCGGCTGCAGGCGGATGGATGGGGCTTCTTCAGGCGGTGGCGGCAGCAGCGAAGGTGGCGGCGGCAGCAGCGGAAGCGGCTGTAAGTGTAGCATCCATAAACCATCTCTCCCCTCTTACTCCTATTTGAGACAACGGGCTCCTGAGGTGTCCTCAGTCCCCTTTCCTTCCTTCCCTTCCCCCAACACCAAGTACCGCCCGGAAGACCCTCAACTTCCGGGGAGGGGCTGCCACAGAATGCGCCTGGCGCTCTTGATTAGCGGAGCAGAGCCGGCCTCTGAAGGCACATGCGCAACTGTCCATCGCTGCCCACCCACTCCCAACTCTGTCTTTTTGCCTTTGCGGTGGCGGAGGCGCGGATCTTCTCTTGCGGCCACGGCACGCTGGGAATCCGCTGCGGAGTGAGTTGGGCTCGCCCCGTTCGCTTCCGCCCCTTTCTCCTGTCAGCCTCGATCCCGGTCGGGGTGGGGCTAAGCCGACCACCCCCGTGTGGCTCCTCCTCTTTCCCCCTGTATTTCCCTCAGTTGTGCCCCCCGGCTACTTCTCGCAGTGCAGCTACTGTGGTGAGCAGGGTCCTAGGCGAACCTGCCGTTTTTCGAAGGAACGAGGGAGGGAAGAGAGACTCGAAGTGGGCATTACTGTGAGGGGACAAGGTCCTCCCAGCCCGTGGGAGGATTCCTTGGGGCAGATGCCTGCCCCCGTTTGAGTGCCTTGTTCTTTCAGCTTGTAGTGGAGAGGTCTCTGGCCTGAAGCCTGTTTATGTTCCTCGCATGCTGTGTGACCTTGGGAGAGTCACTACTCTCTCTGGGCTTCGGTTTTCCCTATTTAAAGCTTCCTCCAAAGCTAAAACTCTAGTTCTGCAGAAAAATTCATGTAATTACAAGATCAGCCTGGCTACTTAGCCTAGATGACCCGGAGCTGACTGAACCTTCGTTCTTCAGTCATGGGTGGAATGAGGCAACTTATTTATTGGGGTGCTTTTATTCCTTTACTGTTGGTTAAAATTGGATGACTCATGGCTCATTAATGCTTTTCTAAAATTGTCATGGGATCATTATCCTAATTTTCGGCCATCTTTTTTAGAATGTGAGACTGAATGGTGAGCTTGTGATATATCATCGTTTCTGTCTCGTTGCTACTGAGGCTCTCTTTCCTTTGATTCAGATGGTGTGGTGGCTCGATTCTCCCAGTGCCTGGCTGAGTTTCGGACGTGGTTAAGAACCAACTGGTTGAGGTTCAATGCAGACAAGACGGATGTGATGCTGGTAGGCAGTGCCACACTTGGAAATTAAGGGAGGGAAAATCCAAACTCCCTCACATAATATAAATATTATATTACTCTTCTATGTTCCAGTGTTTAAGAACCTCTGATGGGCCAAAAATTTCCAGCATTTGGGTGAGATAAAAATAACATGTCAACAATGTAAGAAGTATAAACATAAATTTGTAATATTCTGGTTACATGGGGCCACTGGATGTAAAAATTAAGAAAAGAAAAACCAAAACTGTTCTTTGAAGAACCAAAAGACTATATGTGTTTCATATATAAGGGTGGCATTAATAATAAAAATCAAACTAACAAAAAGATGATGCCGATTCTCGCATAGATGTCTGGCTTCCAAATGTAATGCATTACTGCTTTGCAAGCTGCATTCTGTCTACTAAAGTAAAGGTAAACTCAATTTATCTAAAGTGTCATTTTAAAAAATAGATTAAGTTTTTTGGTATTTAGTTATTTTCAACCAAATTAGTAATTATCCATAAATTTTTACCTCCACCTTATGAAGATATGGTGTAGGCTATCACTTTTAAATAAAACCTTTAGGAAATAGTTTACAAAATAATCTCAAAATGGCCCTTGAAAATTATTAGATATAGAATTTGTTTTTAAAGTTTTGGATGTGTTGTATTGAGTCAACCAGCCCCAGAGTCTAAATTATTACAAGTGTTTTCTTGGTGCATTTTGAGAGGTACTTTTTTTGAGTTACATAACAGGTAACGTTTATATAGTGTAGATATACTTTACTTGTATTTTAATAAGGTGTTGGTACTAAATAAAAGGTTATATTTCTTAGGTATATGTAAATCTCCAAAGAAGTTAATTTATTTGGTTAAAGGTATTTGTTGAAATAAAATGTGACCCTAAATGCTTTTGTTAAAATAATAACTCTCAGGGGTTCTTGTGTGTGTGTGCGTGCGTGTGTCTTATAGCCACTGTAAAATTGTTGAATAACTCATGAATGGAGGATTCAGTAAATTGCTTTAAAATAATTCCCAAGTATAATATAGTTTTGAGTAGCTTATGTGGTAAAAATTAATATTAGTTTGCCTGAAAATAAGAAGACAGTTAGGTGGAGAATAGGAGCTAAAGAGGCATTTTCATTCAGGCTTTGTATAGTGAGTTTTTTGTTTTGGGACATTAACCACAAACTTCACATAAAATTGGAATTAACCACACTTTTTGTTTAACTTTAATCTTTTTACTATATGGTTCTAACAGAACTACCATTTTGAGTATCACATTAATTAATAACATAAAGTGTAATAATTGTAAACAGTTCATACTTAATGGTGAATTTTCTCATGCCTTTAGCTCTGTCATGTCCTGTTTTCAACTCTTCTAGTATCAGTAGCCTTTAAAAATTTATTTTTTGTTAATCTAAGTATAAATATAGACTGCATTTGAAAACAAAGAAGATATCTGTTGAATTAATCCAAACTGCTGAAGAACTAAGGTTAATGGATGGAAGTAACAAGGAGGTACATTTTGGCTTAATAAAAGAAAGAATGTTTTAAACATTTGAGCTTTTTTGAAAAGAGCAGCCTCTTCATGAGATACAATGAGTCACTGGCGGTGTTTAAACATAGGCAGGAAAGCCTGGTAGTAGAAGCATGATGAGGGATTCCATCTCAGCAGGTTAGAGAATTGACTAAAGACCTCTAAGGTCCCATCCGACACTAAGATTCTATGACTAATGAATTAATTTTTACATATTTGGTACTGCAGAAGAGAAGCAAGAGTTTTGAGAAAGACTTTGCTTTTCTTAAGGTGGCTTCTGAAAATTTTAAAGATAAGTATATCACTAGAATAAAATGAGAGTGGAAGTATACTGAATTCAGTAGTAATGTGTTACCTATAACTTACAGTATCATAGCTGTTTCTCTTTACCTTTGGAATATCTGAACCTAAAAATACCACTGAACCCACATTTATGAAAAAGGGGAGGAGAAAGAAAAATGTAGAGGGAACTTTTTCCCTAAATAATAATGCTAAAGTTAGTAATATTGGTACACAATATTAATAAATTTAAGTCATTTAACAGTAAGATGGCTACCCGTTTAAAAATGTCACAGACCTCGATTTTTGTTTTTTACAATTTTAGAATTCATTCAGTAGCTTTTAAGGGACCATGATCCCCTGCTCTTTTTCACAGTTAAGATTTTTGTTGATGGTTTAACTGAAGAATCAAAGATTTCAGTGGACTTAAGCAAGCAAGTTATTCCTGTACCTTGTATTTTAACAACACTTTAATTTTCCTTTTGGTAGCCAGCTAAATTTCATATACATATTAGCTTTTGCTAAATTTCAGATATCAGCTTTCGTATTTTAATGGAAAATCCTTCTTAATCCCCATGATATAAAGCCTGAATATCTACCTCTAAGCCTCTTATTGTTTTTATATGTATCCACCTCAGGTCCATCTAGGTACATCCATTGTTCTTTGCCTTCAGCTCTTTTTATCAAGTGAAACCTATTTGGATATAAACTGACATTTTAAAAAAGTTATTTTTATTTCAAGTCCAAAGGACTAACATAATTCAACATAGTAACTCTTAGAAACTATATACTTATGCTAAAATATTTATTCCCTCAAGGAATCCTAAAAAACTTTATATAAGTTTTCTAAAAAATAAAATGGAAATACTGTACAGTACAGTTAATGGTAATAATTGTTTGTAGATTTGGGAACCTTAAAGTTTTCCTTTCTCTTCTTTCCCTTGCTTTTCTTTCAGTAGAAAATGTGCATCAGATGTTTATGTTTAATTGGTTTACAGACTGTCTGTGGACTCTTTTCCTGTCAAATTACCAGGTAATGTCCTTTCACTTAGCAGCTACTTCATATACCTATAAATGCACTTTTTTCATGCACAAATTATTATTGGACATAACAGTTTCAATTAATGTTGAATCTTTGGAAATAGGAAAATGCTTGATAGAGTCTAGAATTTTAAGGGAATACAAATAATTTAAGAAAACAGCTTCCCCTATATTGCATTATAAGCATGAACTTTTTAAGAAAAATTGTATATGTGCACATTTATGCTATATATTAGAGTACTGGCATCACATTATTTGGAGAGAATGAATAATTCTCATATTTAACTGGTCGATTTTGATAGTCACTTTTGAAACCATATTTTTTTTTTTGAAAATAACAAAACAACCCCTTCCCCCACCCCCCACCCCCCAATCTTTTGAAATAAGAATTTCTAACTCCTGGCTTAGTAAAATATGTTAGTGCCCCTTTTAATATTACTTTTGTATTGGCCAGTATATACCTTAGCAATGGAAGTGAAACATGTTGGTTATTTTGAAATCATTGGCTCTGGCAATCATCAGAATTGGCATCAAGGCCATTTGGCAGCTCTAGACCAATACATTAAAATAAACTTTCAAATTACGGGCATTTCAGGTATTGTAAATCAGTAGGTTCTCCCTCCATGCAGTCAAGTAAGAGATTATTTATGTCCACTGAAGAGCAGGTTTTTAGTATTTCACATTTTAAAATTTTGTCTAGTGCAAAATCCAACCGTTGCACAACTGTGTTGCTACTGGCATCACAGAAAGTGTGATGAAAAGCAAATGCGATATAAGGATGGAAGACTACCTGACACAATTCCTTTCCTTAATCTTTGCTCTGACGTTCCTAAAGATTGTGGGATATAGGATTTTTTATTTCCTGTTGGGAATCGACTCAGAGAAATATTTGTCTAGGGATAACTGCTTGCAAAGCGCAGTTCGTGCCTCTGTTGCATCACAGCAGCATCCGTTTTCCAGCAAATGCACTTCAAAAACGATCTACATGTAAAATATAACGTATTTTTTCCCTTGCTATGTAAATGCTGGACACGGCTCCTTTGGCACCTTTGCTTGACCTCTCTGCTCCCTAGAGCCGTCTCTCCGGGTTGGAGTCGCCTATTTGCTGGGGCGGTGGAGGCGCGCTGCGCTGAGATGCCCACCTCCCCCACACCCACCTTGACTCCGCCCCCTCCGCGCTCTTCCCGGGGAGGGCCGGCCGCGGGGTCGCGCGCGCTCGTCCCTGATCCTGCGCGTGCTCGCTGGCCTTTTCCCTCCCGCCCAGCCCAGCCGGGTCGCCGCGAGGGGGCGGAGTGGGGTGTGGTGGGCGCGCTCGGGCGGCTCCTGCGCGTTCCCGCCCAGGCAGCGGCGGCGGGAGCGGTAGAGACGGCGGCGGCTGGAGTCCCGTTGCCGAGTCTCACATCCGGGTTCTGGCCGTGACCCAGCTGCGGCCGCCGTGGAGATGTGACCCAGCAGTACGGCAAATATGGCGGAGGTAAGGGAGCGAGTTCCCCCTCCCTGTCCCGGGGCCGGGCGCCCCCGGGGCCCTGGCCGGGAAAGAGTGGAGTGGGCCTGGCCAGGGGAGGCCCAGCCCTGCCGGCGCCACTGCCCACCTGTTGTCCGGAACAGGCCGCGCTCTGGGCGGAAGCTTTCTCTCGAACTTAGTTGGGATGGGTCCGGGGGTAAGAGGAAGCGGAGGCGTAGTTCGACTTCGGGGGCAGTTTGATGGGTCGGGCACTGCGCTGTAGTGCGGGGCGAGGGGGAGGGGGCGCCCGCCGGGAAGGGGTGCCTGTGGCGCAACTTCGCCGGCCGGTGCTAGGGCAGGAGAGGAGCTGTTGCTTCCTCTTACGAAGTTTCTTCCCTCCCCAACCGAGATGCTGTTGCGCCCTTCCGCGTCACCCCCACCCTTTTGCTGCTGACATCTAGTCTGTGTTGGTGGGGAAAGCGTAAGGCAGAAAGGCCTTTGATCAACTCTAATTTTCTTGAAGGTGGTGAAATGAGTGTAGAGAAACTAATCTGGCAAGTCGTAATCCACCCCTACAGATTGGGGTAGTCTTCTCATTTCTCCAAACTGTTCCATGTGCGCCCCCCCCCCCCCATAGAACCTCTGAGTTGTTTTTCCACCTTTTTCCCGCCTTCACTTTCCAGGCATTTTTCCCCCTCTAAATCAAGGCTACCTTTTCTTGT